CGCAGAGGGGGAGACAGCAGAAATGCTTGGGTTCACGCTGACGTTCCTCCACTCGATCCAACTGAGCACCGCGGCGCTCTCTAAAAATAAGCCCGGAGCGCTATGAATAAACCATAAGTTAAGTGCTCTGAGAGCTGATTTACAGCCACGATGGAGCCCAGAAGAGATGCTTTGTAGGAGGCGTTTCACAGCATCTTGCAGGAACGAGAACCAGTTTGGGGCCTGCGTAGCCATTTTTAACCTTAATTCAATGCAAGCATGGAGTTGCACTCCTAACATCCACGGCAGCACGGAGTGCCGCAGGCGATCGACGACGAATGGCACGATAGCATCAGCGCAGGGAAACACCCCGCACAGGGAATAAGGACAAGAATGTTGTAAGGAACAGAGGTGCACACAGAGCTATGCCTGATCCCAAAGCCCTGCAGCTCAGCAGAGGGAAGCCAGCTGAGCCGTGCCGTGCCGGGGCTGCGTCCTGCTGACAGCAGCCCACTCTCCTCTCCCCCTGCACTTGTCAGCAAAGCGCCCCCACTGCCTCCAATCTGAGGCTTCCCGTAGAAGACGGCGATGAAATGGAGTAAGTTCGATGGAGAGATGGCAAAACCGCGCAGGGCTGCAGCACTGGGAAGGGAGGCAGAGGGAGCAGGACTTGCTCTGCCTGATGGCTTTGGGGAACCCGATGGCAGCCCACCTATAGCTGTGGGGTGCTGAGAGGACGGAGGAACCGGGCTGTTTGCAGAGAGAAAGGAGAGAAGAGACAGACCTAACCAGGGACGTTCTGGATGGAGCCAAGGAAATCCTTTTTCTTGGTGGCAATGTTCAGAAGTGGACCAGGGGGCCCACGGAGGCCATTGGATCGCCATCCCTTGAGGATTTCAGGACCTACTTGGACTCCTGATGTCCCTTCCCACCTGAGCAACTGCATGGCAGAATGGGACCCAGCACTGGATACCAATTTAGGTCACGCAGCAGTGATTAATCCAGGAAACAACTCCTGAGACCAGAAGTGGATTCAGCATTCCAAAATGCCGTCAGAGCCACGGCGCCCACCCTTCCTGCAAACAACCCTGGGACAAACACACACAAAGCCCTTGAATTGAAGATGCTGAGTGAAATCCAACAACCTGGGAGACAGAGATGATCTCACAGTGTTTGTTCCTGGCACCTGGAACTGACTCCAGGACACTAACAACACAGGAAATGGTGAAAGAAGACTTTGAAACTAAGCTGCCACCACAGGATCACTGAAAAGAAGAGCTGAAAGGGTTCAGGACGCCAGCCCAGAGAATCATAGGATCATGAAGGTTGGAAAAGACCCCTAAGAACATCAAGACCAACTGTCAACACAACCTCATCGTGCCCACTCATAGAATCCTCAAATCACTGAGGTTGGAAAAGAACCCCAAGATCCCCACGTCCAACCCCATCATGCCATCCCCCCAATGCCCACTGCCTGCGTCCCCAGGTGCCACATCTCCACAGCTCTGCAACACCTCCAGTGATGCAGACCCCCCCTGCTTTCCTGTTCTGACACCCACTGTGATTGCACCTGGCCTGACCTTACCTTCCTGGTCTCCACATCAAAGGGCTCTGGCGTGGGGGTTTTGGCTTTCTGAGGGTCCTCTGGGGGTTGAGAGAGTGCCCGTGGGAGGGCGTGGGGTCTGGAGACAGCGAAATTCATCAGAGGGTAAATCCCATTCCTGGTACAGACACAGAGAGAGGAGACAACCAAGTGAGCCCCGTCCTCCTGCCGCACGCTGAAGGTCTGTTTGTCCATCTGAAGAGCCACAGAGGGGCTCAAACGAGCGACTAAGCACGGTCCTGCCAGCGGGATGCTCCATGCGATGGGATCTGGGGACATCCCAAAACCCACCTGACGTCTTCTAAGAACTTGTCGAGCTCAAGGAACGAGACCTCAGAGTACCTGGGAGGGAAGGATGGGAATGTCACTGCGAGAGCAGGGCAGCAGAGCAGCACGAAGGGCTGACAGCGTGGTCAGGGTGGATGCAGGTCCCGGGCTCACAGCTTGTGCTCCAAACCCTCACCTCCACTGTGCCCCGGGCCGACCCTCACGCCGGATCTCTGCCATCACCATGTTCAGGTCCAGCTCCTTTATCTTCTCCTCCACCACGTTCTCTGGCATCAAATCTAGGGCAGAGCCAGAGAGGGGCATCAGCCGGGAGGTGCTGCAGGCTGGGCTCGGTGCTCGCTGCCATCCTCCATGGCTCCTCCATCCCCCCCAGCTCTGCAGGGACCAGGAGCACGAGCTCAGTGGGGCAGGGCAGCCTCCTGTTACTCACACTGGTTGTTGATGAAGCAGTGTGCTGCCAGCAGCTTCAGGGAATGGACCTCGAAGAGCACGCGGTGGAAGAGGAGGCTGTTGGCCGTCGGCCGCTTGTCGGGGTTGAGGGTCAGGCACGACAGAATGAACTCCTGAGGGTCAAACACAAAGCATGAACTGGGAGCAAAGCCCCATTCCACGTCTGTTCCAGTGCTTGGTAACTGCTGGCGAAGAAATCGTTCCTAATATCCAACCTGAACCTCCCCTGGTGCAACGTCAGGCCGTCACCTCTCATCCTACCCTACCCTACCTACCTGGGAGAACTGTGGAATCACACAAGAGAACGGGGGGAATAGGCATGCACACATGGTGGAATGTTTTGGGGATGAAATGGAGGGAAACAAAAGATGCGTGCTGCTGTCTGAGCCCCGTCCTGGGCTCATACTTCAGCCTGCCCTGTCTTCTCACCAAGACCTGTCCATCAGATATTGATAAGCGTTTATCAGATCCCCTCTTGGCCTCCTCTCCCCGAGGTGCACAGCCCCAGGGCTCTCACGCTCCCCATCAGGAGATGTTCCAACCCCCTCCCATCTCTGCACCCTTTGCTGGGCTCTCCCAGCAGTTCCCAGTCAGCCCTGAACTGGGAGCCCCGCATTGGGCGCAGCGCTCCAGCAGTGCCCCCCCAGAGCAGAGCAGAGTGGGGAGAACCTCCCTGCCCTGCTGGCCATGCTCTGTGCAATGCACCCCACGGTCCGTCGTCTTTTTGGCAATCAGGGCACACTGCTGGCTCACAGTCAGCCTGCTGGCCACTGGAACCCCCAGGTCCTTCTCTACAGAGCATGCACACGTGTCTGCATGTGCACCTACTGGGATCTGGCACCCAGCCTCACTGCTATTCCCAGTGGGACAACGTGGGGACAAGATCTCATCATGACCAGCCGAGCACGAAGGATCCTGGTGCCCTTCAGCCTGCCAGACTGCTGCCCGTGCTCCCAGGAGGCTGCTCAGGGCCACCTGAACCATGTGGGTCCGGCTGTGTCCCGGTGGCTCCATCCCACAGCTCAGCTGCCCGTACTCACCCTCATGTTGGGGTCATCCAGAGAATGCCGTGCCCGCATGATGGCCTCCTCCGAGACCCGCGTGTCACCGTTGGTCTGGATCTCCAGCACTGCCATCTGGGGAAGGAGGAGCACAGCTGTGTCTGCAGGCAGCCAAACCCTGGCTCAGGTCCTCGGGGCCCATTTCTCTACCCCACTGCTGCACAGGTGACACCAACAGCCCCACAGCCCCCTCACAGCAGCGCTGAATGTCCCTGTCCCATGTGCTCCTCCTCCCTGGGGGTGCCACAGCTGAGCCAAAGCAGCGGTGGATGCTCTGCTGAGCCCAGCTGAGCCTCCACCTCCATCGGGGACCCACAGCCAGGTGTGGGGAGCTCCCAGGCAGCCAGTGGGCCCCACGAGGCACAACCCTGCCCCACAAGTGGGGGTCCCGCAGGTTCCCAGGCTCTGCAGCAGCCCAGCCCCGTACCTCCAGTGCGCACATCCCAAAGGAGAAGATGTCCACGGCTGTCCCGTCGGCCTTCTCTGCAGAACCAAACCAGGAGCCCATCAGCCCAGTTGTGGTGGGATTTCTCCCCCCTCACCGGGAGCAGCCGACGTCCCCACCTACGGACCCCTCTCCCCACACACTTCTATCTGTGCCTGCTTCCCTATCCCGCCGCCCAGAGCTCTACACAAACCTTTCCAATTAACTCAAAAGACCCGAGACGGGGCTCACGCTGTGTGTGCACAAGGCACAAAGGCTCCGCGCTCCTCTTTCCCACTCACTGCAACGCTTGACACGCTGCTGAGCACTTCTGAGCCAGAACAGCGATCTGAGGTCGTGCTGAGACCTTGTTCTGAACCACCAACATCCAACCCTCAGCCCATTGCCATGTGGGCACAGCTATTCTCCCTGTGGGCACAGCTATTCCCCACAGCACTGATCAGCGCCTCATTTCACCTACAGCGTTGGCACGACCATCCACAGTCACAAGATCTTCTTTTGGCTGAGAGCTTTAGTTCTAAAGGCACCAAACTACAAACCCGCAGCGGCCAAACGCTGAACCACAGCCCTCCCACAGCCCCCCCCCCCCCCAAACTGAGCCCCACTCACGGCCGTATTCAGGGGGAAAGAAATGCAAATTGCGCAGCTCCTCCCTCTCGATCCGGATGGGGCTCCGCAGGTCATCTGGAAGGGCTGCAGGGGGGCGAGAAATAATCTGAGGCACGGCACTGCAGTGAGCACAGATGGGACTTTGGAGCGTGTCCCTGCCCGTGCACACAGCAGTGTGGACCCACTCCCCCAGGAGATGCCACCGCAGCGGCGGTTCCCTTCCTGCCTGCAGCCCCAGGACCGCTTCTCGGTGCCCAATGGGGACAAAACCCACCCGGTGATGAGATGGATGTGCTGGAGGGGGAGCAGAGGGACACTTACCGTTGGCAAACACCCGGTGCCACACTGCCGGTCAGCGCCGATGCCAAAGGAGACAAGTGAGAAGTGTAGAGCAGGGGACACAAACAGGAGACAAGGTCACACCACACCTCAGAGCCGTAGAATCATTAAGGTTGGACGAACCACTAAGATCATCGAGTCCAACCCCACCCCATCCCCACCATGCCCACTGAGCACGTCCCCGAGTGCCACATCTCCATGGCTCTGTAACGCCTGCAGGGATGGTGACCCCAGCACTTCCCAGGGCAGCCGTGCCAATTTCTGACCCAGCGTTTTAGACACGCTGCAGGGCCTCGGTGTCTCACCTGCAGTGGGGACCTGAGCAACACTGAGCACAGCACCGAGGTGCAGCCTCACCACAACTGAGTACAGAGGGATGAGCACCTCCCGCTCTGCTGGCTGCACTGTTCCTGGCACAAGCCGGGATGCCATCGGCCTCCTTGGCCACCTGGGCACGCTGCTGGCTCACGGTCAGCATCCCCAGTTCCTTCTCTGCTACAGGGGGCACTGCACACGTGTGATGCTCAGTAAATCATCAGGGGACCCTCAGCTCTTACCCTTCCCCACCCCATTCCCAGCCCCAGAGCTTCAGGGTCGCGTCCTACCGGAGCCGATCTTGATGAGCCCGTTGTGCTGGATGAAGATGGTGTCACTGGTGAGGTTGCCGTGGATGATGGGGGGCTCACAGGAGTGGAGGAAGCTGAGGGGCACAGAGCTGCCCTGAGCACTCTGCCCTACGCAGCCCGCGGCAGGACGGCGAGGCAGAGAACTTACCTGAGAGCAGACAGGATCTGCGTGCACCAGCGCTTCCAGGCCTACGGCAGAGAGCAGAGCTGTGTGAGACAATATAGGACCCCCCTATTGCCCCGCAGCTGGGAACCCAGCCCCCCTGCTGCCCTGCAGGGACCACAGCTCGAGGATGAGCCACGCGCTGTCCCAGCTGCAGCCTCCTTTCCAGTCCTGGTTCAGCGAACACCATCAAAGCTGAGAACCTCAGTGCTGCGATCCTCAGTGGCAGACGCAGCTCTGCAGGGCACCAAAAGCCATGGCAGTGTGGACACACGCACTGCAGAGGGGGGCAAAAGCTCGCCATCCTCATGGGGTCCATGCACATGGTTTGTACCAACAGTGAATCCCAATTCTACAGCTGCACTGCTGTGGCAGTGAGCTCAGACTTGGGGGAGGGCAATGGAGTCCAGCACAGATCCCAGAATCACAGCTGGGTGATGCAGGAAGCCACCAGGGGATCATAGAGTCAAGGAGGTTGGAGTCCCCCAAGATCATGTAGTCCAATCTCAACCCATCCCCACCTTGACCATGTCCCCAGGAGGGCATCTCCATGGCTCATGATCACCTCTGGGGGAAGACGACCCCCCCACCTCCCTGGGCAGCTGTACCAATGCCTGACTCTTCTGGAAAGAAACTGTTCCTAACATCCAACCCGAACATCCCTCGGAGCAATGGGAGGCCACTGCCTCTCATCCCATCACTGCTTTCTAAGAGACCCGAGACCCCTCCCAGCAGGCACAGAGCTGCTCCCTCCCGTGGATGCGCTCCTAGGGACCCTACCCTGGCATTCATGGCCTTGTGGTTTTTCTTGGTTTTCTTCAGGAACTGTTTCAGGCTCCCCGAAGACACGTATTCTGTGATGAAAATGACCTGAGGGGGGACAGAGGTGTCGGTTTCTGCCCAGCTCATGTGAGGCTGAGCGTCCTGCTACGTGTCCTGGGGGAATCACAGAATCGTTAAGGTTGGAAAAGACCTCCAAGATCATCGAGTCTGACTGTCAACCCTTCCCCACCCTGCCCACCAAACTATGCCCTCGAGTGCCACATCTCCACGCTTCTGGAAACCTCCAGGGATGGAGACTCCTCCCGGGCAGCCCATAGCAATGCCTGGTGTGTTTCAGAGAAGAAATCTCTCCTCATTTCCAACCTGAAGAAGAGGAATCCTGGGAGCAGGGTGAGCAGAGGACCCCGGGATCCCACCGCCATCCCTCCAAGCCTGGCATCCGACCCCCGCATCCCCTACCCGTGCCTTCGAGTCCTTCACATCCAGCCAGTATTTATGGAGCTTCACGATGTTGGGGTGGTCCACCAGCACCAGCTGCTCAAACATGGTCTTGATCTTCTCCTGTATGCAGAGAAAAGACAGCTGAGATGGCAGCTCTGGGGGCACGGCAGGACATCACAGAGAGCACAGGAAGGTGGGGAGCAGCTCCAGGTCAGGGGAAAAGCTGCTTTTGGGGTACAGAAGACACAGGGAGCCGTGGGCACATTCCTCACCACCAGGGGTGATTACCTCGTGTGCTTTGAAGGCCTTCTTGTCAGTGAAGAGCAGCTCATTCCACACCACCTCCACGCCTTCCTCCGTGTCCATGGCGAGGAAGGTGCTCTGGATGCCCGGCATGTTGCCCTGGTTCACCTGCAAGGCACAAGAATCTGTGAGGCCGTCCATGAGTGCGCCCTGCCCGCAGCTCCCACCCCACGGACAGACTCACGCCCAGCACTACATGGATGTGCACAGATCTCCTGTTCCACCATCCCCATCCACAGGACGCTCAGGCTGGGACACGGGGAGCACCCAGCCCACTGCCTGCCCTGCCCGGCCCTCAGGACTCCCATTCCTGGGGGCTCAGGTCCCTGGGACACGAGGGCACAGAGCAAAGCCAGACATTGGGAGCAGCTCCCAGCACAGCAGGATGTCACCACAAGAGCCACCCAGCTCCAATTCACACCCCATGCGGACCCCGCATCCCAGCAGACATCGGGGAACGTCCCACGCTCTCAGCTGATGGCTGCAGACACAGTGGACAAGGCAAACTGGAAGGTCCAGATCAACCAAAGGCCTCGTCAACATCAAGGAGGCTGTGGATGCCCCCATCCCTGCAGGCATTGGAGGCCAGGCTGGATGTGGCTCTGGGCAGCCTGGGCTGCTGGTTGGCGACCTGCACACAGCAGGGGTTGGAGCCAGGTGAGTGCTGTGCTCCTGTGCACCCCAGGCCATTCTAGGGTTTCTGTGATTCCACGATCTCAGGGTGACTGCGGCCACACCACAACCAGGGGTACATCTGATGAGCTCCCATCCCCTGAGCTGCGACCCCACGCACAGCAACTCTGCCATCAGCAAGGCTGCAAACTGCATCCAGCATCATCATCAGCGACATCAGCGGTGGGATGGAGTGCACCCTCAGCAAGAGTGTGGGTGACACCAAGCTGTGGGGTGCAGCCGACCCAACAGAAGGAAGGGATGGCATCCAGAGGGACCGGGGTGGGCTGGAGGACTGAGCCCATGGGAACCCAGAGAGGTTCAATAAACCCAAGTGCGAGGTCAGCACCTGGGTCACAGCAACCCCTCTATCAGTGTGAGCTGGGAGATGGAAGGGCAGAGCACGGCCCTGCCGAAAAGGATTTGGGGTGCTGGTGGTTGGCAGCTGGGCTCGAGGCAGCACTGTGCCCTCGCAGCCCAGAGAGCCAGCCGTACCCCGGGCTGCATCAGAAGATGTCCGTGTTCAGTGCAGGGCAGTCGGACCACACGGATCCCACAGCTCCCTTCCAACTCAAAGCACCTACGATTCCATGAGGGGGATTCTCCCCCCCTCCCAGGAGCAGAGCATCCCTGCACACCATCAGCCCCGCATCCTCCTCCTGGTGGATTTGACCCCCCGCCTCTTCCGGCACGGCGTGGAGCTGCCGGTGTGCGGATGAATGCAGGATTGTTCTGCTGCTGCTCGGGGCTCGGACGCTGTGGCACGGGGCGGCTCGTGGGCACGGCGCTGGGGGGGTGTGCGGCACCCCGGCTCATTGGCAGGGAACAGATGGGCGCCCGTGGCCCAGTTCCTGCTGCCTGGGCACAAAGAGCTTCTATTACTTGTTCTCCCCCGCCTGCAGGCTCCGCGTGCCTCGCACAGAGCTCAGCAATGGAGCCAGCTGGCCCGGGCTCAGCCTGCATGGGCTCAGCCTGCCTGGGCTCCATGCAGTCAGCTGTGGGGACAGGACAAGGGGATGGCTTTAAGGTGAAGGAGGAGAGATTTGGGTCGGATGTGAAAAGGAAATCGTTTCCCCAGAGGCGGTGAGGCCTTGGCTCTGCTGTCCTGAGAAGCGTGGATGCCCCATTCCTGGAGGTGCTCAGGGCTGTGGACGGGCAGCTGAGCGGGGGGGCACACAGGGGCTGAGGGTCCCTTCCAGCCCAACCAGTCCGTGGTTCTGTGATCCTTAAGGACCTTTCCAACACATCCCATTACACAGTTTTGTGATCTCATTATAGAACGGCCTGGGTTGCACAGGAGCACAGCGCTCACCTGGCTCCAACCCCTGCTGTGTGCAGGTCGCCAACCAGCAGCCCAGGCTGCCCAGAGCCACATCCAGCCTGGCCTCCATTGCCTGCAGGGATGGGGGCATCCACAGCCTCCTTGGGCAACCTGTGCCAGTGCCTCACCGCCCTCTGGGTGATCTTTAAAGTCCTTTCCAACCAATCCATTCTATGACCTACAATTGCATGAGTGCTGGATGGCATAGGGATGCCATAGGGATGGCCCCTATGCTTCCTTCAGTGTCCACTGAAGCTGCTCTTCAGCCCACCTCAAAAATCACCAATGGAAAAACATCTCATGGTCCTGAGAAAAACCCCAAGCTGACAGCAGCGAGCAGCCGCTGTGCGCCGAGGGACACAGAACTCACCCTGAGCAGCAGCCCCACGCACGGAGCTCCCAGCTGCACCACTAAATAAATGCTGTCTGTGATCACAAAGGGCAAAAGCAGCGGCCACAGCCACTGCTGCCATCTCACCCTGCGACTCTCAGGGCTCTCTCCCATCAGTTCTGTGAGGCAAAGCTCCTCCTGCACCGGACTGGGAAATTCTGTGCTCGGGTTGCTTCCAGAAAGGCCCTGGCAGGAGCTGAGGCTGCGTGGGGAGACCATGGGGATGGGTGAGTGGAGCTTACGACGGATCAGATTGCATCTTACAATAAATGGCTCCTTTTGTGCTTCTCACATTACGGAGGCTGAAACTGCAGACAGAAAAAGGTTTGGTGATGGAGCGCCGGGGCCGTGGGGGAGCAGCGGTTCTATCAGGGGGGGGCTGGGGATGCTCACAGCAGCTCCCAGCCGCCCCTCTGTGTTGCAGAGATGCTGAACCAACCCAAACCTCCCCGCTGCCACCTGAGGCCGCTTCCTCACATCCATCACCACCCGCAAAAGAGACCGACCCTCTTCGCCGCAACCTCCCTTCACGTCCCTGCAGATGGGGTCTGCCCTCAGCCTCCTCTTGTGCAGCCCGGGCAGCCCCAGCTCCTTCCCCTGCTCCCCTTGTTGCGTTGTCTGCTCCCTTCTCCAGCTGTATTGCTATTCTCTGCCCATGCACTCTCACCAGTGCTGAGCACTGAGGCTCCCTGGTTCTGATACAACCCCGGATGCCGTCGGCCTTCTTGGCCCCGTGGACACAGGGTCAGCTGGCCCTCACCAGCTCCCCTAAATCCCTTTCCCATCCAGATCTGGCCTCCTGTGTGCACTCAGAACAGCACCAACCCGGAGGGGGGGGGGGGGGGGGGGGGCCGCCTCCTGCCTGCAGGAGCTTTACCCAAAGCACTTGCAAAATTTGGCACGGCTTTGCTGCTTTGTCTCCAAGGCAACTGAGCAGGGCAAAGCCTCAGCGCTCAGCTTGAGCAGCACGGGGGTCACGTCAGCATCCTGGGCTCCCTGGGCAGAACAAAACTCACCCAGCAGCGGTGCCGATGCCTCGGTGATTTGGTGGCCACGGGCATCTGCTGTGCCACAGGTCCCAACCCCGTGGCGTGGAGCAGAAGCCCAGCTGGGGACGTGCAGGGCACAGAGGTGGCGATGCTCACAGCGGGCAAAGCCCACGTGGCTCCCTGTTGGGATTTCTGGGGCTGAGCAGGGAATGCTGTGCCTGGGAGAGCAGAGCAAATCCCAACCTGCTGCTCTGCTCTGGGATCTCATCAGTGCAAAATCTGCACGTGGGTCTTTAGAGACTTTGTTGGAGCTACGGATGGCGCAGAGCTGCACAGGGACACCTCAGTGCAGTGCCTGCGCCCTCTGAGCAGCGCATGCAGGGACGCAGAGCTGTGTCCTGCGGAGGGGAGGAAATGCTGCAACACGGGAATGATGCTTCCATCCAAGTAAAAAGGAAAAGGAGCTCAGAGGGCTGAAGCCACACGGACAGCTGTGCTGCTCACTGAGGGCTGTGGGTGACAGAGAGCACTGGCTGCATGCGGAGCGCAGCTGGAGAAGACCTCCAAGATCCCCAGGTCCAACCCAACCCACCGTGCCCACCTCCCTCAGTGCCACATGCACACAGTGCCAGAACACCTGCAGGGTCGGTGACTGCCCCACTGCAGCCTGTGCCACTGCATCACCACTCTTCCCAGGGAGAAACTGTTCCTTACATCCGAGCTGACCCTCCCTCGTGCGATGCGAGGCCATCAGCTCTCATCCTATCGCTGTTCCCTGGGAGCAGGGGCCAATCCCCTCCTGGCTCCAACCTCATTTCAGGGGGTGGGAGACAGCAGTGAGGTCTCCCCCGAGCCCCCCCTGCCCCAGGTTGCGATGTGCTCAGCTGCCGTGGGACCTCAGCTGGCAGCAGGTGACAGCAGCTGATGGCTGACATCCACCCTCTGCTACCTGCGGTTTGCAGCAGAACAACAGCCTGAGCCCACAGCGCAGAGCAGCAGCAGACGAGGGATCTGAGCTGCCAGATAAACCTGTTTTCTCTGCACGATCGTGTTACACAATGAGCAGGTGAAGGGAACACATGAGATGGAAAATATTTTGATCCTAGTGAAGCATTTGATCCCGCTCTCACAAAAACAAGCGCTCAGCACAAGCTCAGAGCCGGGTGGGCAGAGGGTGAACAGGCTGCCAGCTGCAGGACTTAGCTGAGCCGGGATGGAGGAGAGCCATGCGCAGTCACTGCGAGCTGCTGCAGCTCAACGCCGTGCTGCGATGGAGAGAAATGCTGGGGTGAACAACGCCTGTCCTGCACAGGTGGACCTCAGAGAGGAGAGAGGTGGCAGAACCACGGGCAGAAGAAGAATCATAGAATCATTAGGGTTGGAACAGACTTCCAAGGTCTTGGAAGGTTTGGAGAGCTTCCAAGGTGTCCAAATCCAACCCCCGACACCGAGCCCACTCATAGAATCACAGAATCATTCAGGTTGGAAAAGGCCTCTGAGATCACCCAGTCCAACCATCACAGCTCTACCACCGCAGGAGCGGAGGGGGCCAGGTGCCTTTCTGTCCATGCTGAAGCCTGCCCTTCCTTCTTGCCCTGTACCTGCTGCAGCAAACCTGGGATCCCTGACCTCTGTTCCACTGCTGAGCGGGCACAGAAGTCTATTTTTCCACTGCTCAGATAAGAGCCAGGCACAGTGCTGTGGGCTGAAGGCAATGGCTGGTTGGTACCAGGGCAGAGGACTTCCTCCTGAAGGGCAAAGGAATCACAGATTCATCACAAGCCATGGGGTGGTTGGGTTGGCAGGGTCCTTACAGATCACAGAGCCAGGAGGTGGTTGGGTTGGCAGGGTCCTTACAGATCACAGAGCCATGGGGTGGTTGGTTGGCAGGGTCCTTACAGATCACAGAGCCATGGGGTGGTTGGGTTGGCAGGGTCCTTACAGATCACAGAGCCAGGGGATGGTTGGGTTGGCAGGGTCCTTACAGATCACAGAGCCATGGGGTGGTTGGGTTGGCAGGGTCCTTGTAGATCACAGGGCCATGGGGTGGTTGGGTTGGCAGGGTCCTTACAGATCACAGAGCCATGGGATGGTTGGGTTGGCAGGGTCCTTGTAGATCACAGAGCCAGGAGGTGGTTGGGTTGGCAGGGTCCTTACAGATCACAGAGCCCCATAAAGTGCACAGGGTGACTGTCTGCCCTCTTGCTGTGACTGCAGCACAGACCATAGCTCAACCTGCACGATGCCACTGCTCTTCTTCCTATAAAGCACCACGACCTCACATCTGATCCCCGCATTCCCACACCGGGGAACGCTCCAGCACCGCCTCTCACATCCTTATTGCCCAGTGCCAACGTGTGGAATGGAAAAGCAAACCAACGGCGTTTGCACCATTTTGTGACATGGCTGTGGGCACCTCCTTCGTCCCAGCAGCGCAACACCGACGCTCCCTGTGTGTGCTCCCTGGTTGCAGCGGAGCAAAACAAGGAAGGAGATGAGGGGCACGCGAGGTGCGCAGCCCGAGAGGCTCCTGCACGCTTGGCCACTGCACACAAAAATACCTGCAGGCAAAAACAAGCGGAAGGGCAGAAACGAGCTCGGCGAAAACAGGAAGGGACAGAACACGGAGTGTAATTTTAGCAGCCCTCCTTGGCATGTGGGCCGAGGAGCACAGAGGGAGCAGCTGTGCGCATGTGGGACGCGGTGAGGACAGGAGCAGATGGGCAGCGAGGAGCGCAGCACGCAGCCACAAACTGCAAACTGATGCCGTTCTGGTGGGGAAAACGGATGGCAATCAAGCAGCGTGTGCTGCAGGAGGAAGGAGACCCACCTCAGGCAGCCAACATCAGTGCCTGCCCAGCGCTGAGAACACGGAGCGGGATTGCTGTGGCTGGGGAGGATGGAGGGATCCCAGGGAAAGCTGCACGGAAAGCAGAGCCGAAACAAAAGCTGAAGCACCTCTGTGCATTACCCACACAGACTGGGAAGGGTGTGAGGAGGTCGGCGAGAGCGGCTCAACGTCTGCTTCGCTGCCAAACTGAGGAGAGGCTGCGCTGCCTCCTTCCAGCAAAGGTCACCCGTCGGTGAGCTGCGCCGTCCTGCAAACAAACCCCCTCTGCAAATCGCCCCTGCGATGCCCACGCCTCCATGGGAGCACGGAGAGCTGCGCTGCCACAGAACCGACTGCTGGCTGCGCTCAGCGGGCTGCCAGGACCCCCGCAGGTCAACAAACTGCAAACAAACAAACGCCCCCAAAACGGAGGGAAGGAAAACAGACGGTGTGTGGAGAAGGAGCAAAGTCCTTCAGGCTCCTCGGCTGTGCAAAAACAAAGCAGAGCCCGGCAGCCCGGAGCCCTCCCTCCCAGCAGGGCTGGCAGCAGCACGGCTGTCAGAAATAGCTCCGGTGGCAAAACGTAAATAGCTGGAGGCTTTCCAGCAGCACACATCGCAGCGCTGCTGAGCCTCACCGCAGCCTCCAGGAACGTTCAAAAATGGGGAAGCTGCAGCCCCGCCGTGCGTGCAGACGTCGGGTTGTTTCCCTGCCTTCTGTTTCACTTTGGGGTCTTTGGGAACGCTGCTGAGCCTCCCCACCTGGCACATTTCTCACTCCACTCTCCCTAAAACGTGCTTTTGCATTTCTCCTCTTCCTTCTGCTCTTTCTTTTGCTTTTTTTTTTCCCCGCCCGTCGGGCATAGAGGTGAACCAAAGCTCAGAGTTCAGGGCCCACGCAGTCGTTAACCCTTTCCTGATGGGCACCAACAGTGCACCAAAGTGTCCGAAGGAGGAGATGAGGGGCAGAGCTGCAGCAGCAAATACCCCAGGGGCAGCAGCCCCCTCCCATTGGACACGTGTTTGCAAAAGCAGAGCCACGCGGATACGAAAACATTCATTTTGAGCAACACAGCATCAGTTTGCCAAAGCCCTGCAAAACTTCCAGCAGAAACAAAGCGCTGCTTCGCCGGCCCCGCTGCTCCGACTGCTCAGGAGGGGTGGAAAAAAGCAAACGCAGTCACCAAAGCGATGGTGAAAACAAACTCTTCTGAAGTGCAAACGAGGGGGAGGAGGTGAGGGGGCACCACCTGAGCTGCGCTGACGGGAAGGCATGGAAGGGTTCGCGGCTGCATCTGCACCTCTGTTGCAGAGCACTTGAAATGCTTCCGCTTCCTCATCCACAACTTCACGTGCACCGTAACGAAATGCAACAGGAGAACGCAGAGGAAGCCGTGACGTTCCTCACTGCTGCTCGCACAGCTGCAGAGCGGTGCAACAAAGTCAGCCCTGCTTGCATCTCCGCGGCGCCGCGTGCTGCGTTCATCAGCACTGCACTCCTCGCTTGGAATCCGCGCCACAGCAGCAGAGCCCTGCGTGGGTGCCTGGGGCTTCCTACCCTGCTGGACACAACAGCAGCACCAGCACGGCACCGTGCATCCAGCACAGAACAGCACAGCACAGCACCATGCATCCAGCACAGCGCTATGCATCCAGCACAGTACAGCACAGCACCCTGCATCCAGAACAGCACAGCACCATGCATCCAGCACCATGCATCCAGCACCCTGCATC